CCTGCCTCCACCTGTGCCTGTCACACTCCCACACACACCTGCCCCCACCTGTGCCAGTAACACTCCCACACACACCTGCCACAACCAGTGCTTCTCATTTGGCATCTCCGGAGCACAAAACTAAACCACATTTTCCTATCTCAAATTGCTACATCAGCAAAACTAGGAACATTCTGTCTTGCCTGCTAAAAACAAAACCACTGCCACTACCTTACTTTGAATAATACCTTATGCTGATGAATTTCAGAGACAGTGTAACACCCTCCCCTCCCACATACAAGAGAAAGCTGTTTCAATTCTGAAATTCTCTTCCACTTTATTTATGCAAGGTTTACCTTGCTTTCTCAATCTTAAACTCAGTCTCCCTTCATAAACTTGCTTGGAGGAAATGAGGGCTTGATAACTTCCCTCCTACAGACAGGAAAACTAAAGCCCAGAGAAGTCAACCGCTTTGCCCATTGTCCCACAGTAGAAAATCAAGACCAAGGCTCTGACCAGGCTCCTGGTCTCATGACTGCCCATTCAATCCCAGCCACCAGTTCTGTGCCTCGTGTCAGCACCTGAATGGACCCACGGGCCAAACACGACCGCATTCTCTAATCTAACTCTGAAGGCGGTCGGAGGGCAGTGGATCCCAGCCTCTCCATGTCCGTAGTCTTCTTGCATTATTTTTTCTAAATAGGCCTCTTATTTTGACATATGCTGCCCATTAATCGGTATTTCACTAGTAATAATCTTATTTTTATTCATCAGAAGTCATAAAGCTGCCAATTATCTCCTATTGCTTGGCTGATAGGCATGAAATAACCAAGTTGATATGACTGCAACCAAACACGAAGAAAACTGATGCTTCAGTTAAGCAATGCAGTTACAGCTGGTAATATGCCCAATTCTCATCAAGCATTTTGATGTATTAAAAACAGCTTCTAACACAGAACTTTTGGGGACAGCAAATTAGTAATACTGATCAACGTTTCAAACATGTCTATCTTTTCTCCTACTATTTCTGTAGAAAAAGTTGCCAACACAAATGTGCAAACGTATATGTGCAAGGATGCTGGCTGCAGCATTGACTGGGATAGTGAAAAACTGGAAACTATTCAAGGTCCATCAGTAGGAGGCTGGTCTAGCCATGTTTTCAATACTATGCAGAATAAGGTAAATCTGCTTTAACTGATATGGAAAAAATCTCAACGATGTAGTAAGGGAAAAAAAAAAAAGAAAAACAAAAAGGAAATGGCGCAGAACAGAATATGGACAATATGAATCTATTTTCATTAACAGGGTATACCACAATAAAATGTCTGAAAGAAACTTTACAGAGTCAGGAGAGATAGTGAGATATTTTTTACTTTCTTTCTGTATTGTTTGAATTTTTTCATGAAGACTATTATGGATTAAAATGTGCTCCCCCCAAAATATGTGTTGGAATTCTAACCCCTGTATCTGTAAATACAATCCTGTTTGGAAATAGTTTTGTTGTGTTAATTAGATCATACCTGCATAGGGTGGGCTCT